TACCAGTCACGACATTCGGCACTGTGCTGGCCTCCTCTATAGTAAGCTGGAAAGCACAACCCCGAGTCCTCGGGGGATTTTCCCTACCTTGCGTCTATCTGTGTTCCTCAGAGTAGAAATAGATGGAGCCATCACAGGCTTGCTGGCAAGTAAGGGACATTAGGCCTTCATATGGCCCACTTGCTCACAATGATAGCAGAGCCTACCTCTAGGCGGAGGAGCCTGCTAATGACAATCCTTCTCAAAGTGTCCCTCTTAGCCGTAATTACGGCATGCATAAGAAGAATACTGAAAAGCACCATGACGAACCTTGTTTCACTTCCCAAAAGTGTTGCCCCTCTGTCCTCCAGATCTCAAATCAGCGGGCTTGAACCGCTGCGCCACAAGACTGAACAAGAGCCTTCCTCAACTCCCTCGATTGTAGATCTATCTCAATCCCCCGTCTCCTCGTGGTCTCCTGAAGCTCAGTGAGGGAACCCTAGTGTTGGGTGGACACAAATTGTCGCATATCCGTCTTGAGCATGCTCAAGTATTGAGTCATCTGAGCCTACTCAAAAGCAACAAACTCAGGGTAGAAAAGAGCCCTCTTAGTAAAAATCTGTGTGATCTTCATCACTGTCTCAGTCCACTATCTCAGATCTAGATACTCTTTAGCCAACTACTCCCTCTCCACCAAGGGAACATACCTCATGCGAAACATCTATGAGAACTACTCCCAGGTAACAAGAGCTCTCTGCTCAGGAGTGTAAGAACCAGTCACCAATCTCCACCAATCCTTCGCTTTTGACTGGAGAAGGTTTAGGGTGCACTTGACCTTCTAGTCAGCAGGGCAAGAGCATGTGAAGAAACAACCCTCCACATCATATAGCCACCTCATCACTACAATTGGGTCCCTAAACCCATCAAACTCCAAGGGCTTCGTATTGTTAAAGTCCAGATACTGGAAAACTCTTTCCCCTCAAACCCACGCAGTAGAAACGACCATGGTAGCTGTAGCAATGACAACATCAGAAAGGGCTTCATACTAATCATCAAAGAGCTCAATAATGGTAGTATTGATAGACCCAAACATCTTCGGCATAGATCTTCGGATAGCAGTAGCCACCTTAGTGGCGATGGTCTCCGAAATCTGATCATCAGTCAATCCTGGGATATCCTAACCACTCGCTCTAGACCCGGAACTTGATCCTCTCATAAAAACCATACTGAAAATAAACCAGGATATATCAGAAATGCTGTAATACACATAACTAAAGTTACGAGACGAAACAAAACCCTTGGGGGTTTGTGACTTCATTGCTACGCATATGGATCCCTTGCTTTTAGTTGTATGGGCCCATTCTACCTTCCACACCTACCCGTATTTGTCTCAAAGATCATCACAACCGCCAAACACAAATACAAAAACTAGGATACGCATACATCCTATCCCCACTCTCTCGAGAGTGGCTATGCATTCCTCATATGACCAACTGCTCGCACATATACTCATTGATGAAACTTCCACCAACCCTACAACACTCGCATATGCTAATCATACATAACACTGGATCCTATAGACAGTCAAATACTTGATTCTGCCCTAATCCCACAACAAAACAAGGAACAAAAAATAAGGCTAAACCAAACATTCTTCGGCTATAAAATCTTAGTTATGTACAACTATGATGCATACACTAAGCAACTATAGTAATGATGTCAATTTCATATTAGAAGTAACCCCATGCTATTAGGCATCATACACAGAAACAATTTTATCATGTAATTCATGAAGATCCCTAGCATATCACTAGCATGCTATTCCATCATAAACATCATATCAAATTACAAGTGTGGTAACTTAGGGTATACTTTCTTGCTCCGGCTGATCATACACATTGCATCCTTCCTTGGTTACTTTTGAAAACCATTTTTAAAACTTTTTAAGAATGAATTCACACGAATGCTCATCAAATTCTCTCAAACCAAGGCTCTGATACCAACTTGTAACATCCCAAAAATCATAGAAAATTAAATTTTTCAAAAACAACCCATTTTAACCCTAAAGTGTTTACAAAACCATTATTTCAAAAGTATAATCATAATCAAAGTTTTCCCAAGATCCAATATCATAAAAATAGGAAGATGTGCACGATGATGTCTTCGCTTTCCCGCGATCATCTGAAGTACCTGAAACAATAAATTGAAATTGTAAGTCAAAGCTTAGTGAGTTCCCCCCAAAGTACCACCACGCTACACATAACATATACAAATCAACATGTTGGGTCCACAACCTCCCGATTAGATTACCTGGCCCACAACATCCTAGTTGGATTACCCTGCATATCACGTACTAGATTCACAAAATCCCGGTTAGATTACCCTGGCCCATAACCTCCCGGTTGGAATACCCTAGTCCACAACCTCCCGGTTGGATTGCCACAGTCTGTTGACAGACAGTAAAAAGTAGTAGTCTTAACCCCAACATAAAATGTAGACATAATATGGATAACAAACATATTTAGTAGACAGATAATCATACAACTAGTAATCATAGGTAGTCCTACAGATCTGCAAGTCTAATGCATATCAACAACTATCATATAACCATACAAATCTACCACATATTCAACATATCATCAATCAGTATATAACAGGATATCAATCCAATAGTAGAGTGAGGAAAACTCACCTCTCAGTCTGAAAAAGATCGTTGAACAGGACACCACTCTGAATATCAGCTCAAACGGTAACCTATTCTTTAAATAATGATCAATCTTAAATACCACTCAAAATACCCAAAATAGCGTTAGGTCAACCTTGGTCAAAGCAGATCAAAGTAAAAAAAGTCAAACTTGGTCAACACAGATGAGTACGCTGTGCGTACTCAGCTTGTATGTGGGGCGTACTCAAATATCAACCAAAAAGGGTGTTTGACTCTATACATGCATCGTACCACTTGGTATGCCTAACGTATGCACCTGGCCCCTTTACCATCCTATTAATAGCCTAATGTTTATTCCCTTACATCCAAATTATAATTTTAGACATCAAATGTCGTCCTTAACCATAAAGTTTCCAACTTTATGGTTTTGCATGGCCATTAAGTGCCTAAACACAAAACCCTAACTACTTAACCCATTTAGACCTTGTAACTCATGCATAAAAGGAATCTAACAATCAATATTACATTTTTATGCTTCTAAATGCTTCAAATTGTTTTAAAGGACATCTTATATGGATTAGAGTAACCTATACTCATAATACCAGGCTTATGTTACCAAAAGAACGCCATTTCATAACTAAACAAGATCTAAAGAACTTTTAATCAAGTTCAGAGCTTTGTACCTCCAAATGATGATACTATCTAGATCTGAAAAGTCTCACTCCTCCAAGATGATCTTCTTTTCTTCCTCTCTCCTTCAAGGTTACCAAAGCACACACAAAATGCTCAAGAATGCTATAAATCGGATTAGGGTTGGCTTGGGGATAAAAGTGGGTTGGAGAGTGATGAAAGAAGGCAGGTTATGGACTTAAGGATTCTTAAATAGGGTCCAAACCCTAAATAGGGTTTGAGGTTTTGGCATGTACACCCAGCGAATGTGAGCTCCACCCATAATTTACAAAATTGCTACTATGGGCCATTTTGAATCACTTCTCATACACAAGGGCTAAAATGAAGATAATCTTCATACTTAGGGTTAAAATTGAAAATACCTCATCATTGGGATGCCGGGGTTGGTGTACATCGCAAGCAAAGTACATTGGGTAAGTAATAAACAAAGTTAATATGTTCTTTAATAAATATATTATTATTATTATTATTATTATTATTATTATTATTATTATTATTATTATTATTATTATTATTATTATTGTTGTTGTTGTTGTTATTGTTATTGTTGTTATTGTTATTGTTGTTGTTGTTGTTGTTGTTGTTATTATTATTATATTTTAAGGTATATTATTAGTATTTTAGTGTATAAATTTAGTTATTTGTCTTAATTAATGTATGTTTATTTTTTTCTTTATTTTAGGAAAAAATTCAAAGAGAGAAGATATTGATGAAAGAGCTTGGCGAGGGAGAAAAGTCTAATGAAAAACATTGTAATATTACATCCTTAATTAACTTAATCACTTGCTTTGACTATCTACTATGCCACTCGCCTTCATCTGTGGAAAAATACACAAACCCTCCCATCAAACAAGTTACCCTGTTATGGAAAACCAGGTAATTGCTCAAAACTAGTATGTCCTTTGAAACTCTTCAAGCTTATGTAACAATCAAATGGTCTGTTAATGCAGGTCCAACATATATTGTTGATGTATCCCACCGGGAATCCGTCAAAGATAACAAAATCACTAGCTCAATATACGGATTGGCCAAAGAGTAACACATAACTAACGTCGGGGCTTCGCCCTCGCCTTCAAGACCCCGTATCCATTCCTTGGTGCCCAGGAGCGAAGGCTAACCTTGAAGACAAAACAGTACCAGGAGTTCCCAGAACGATAGATGTAGTGCTCTGGACGCCGCTTCTGGTAGAGTCTTCACCAATAGTGAACAACCACTCATGGAACACGATCTTCCAATCAAAAGCCATCAGCCCCTGCCAAACTTGAAAAAGTAGAAGATATTGTCGAGGATTTGTTCCCCCTATCCACAGGTATAAAACGCACCCTTCCCACCCAAGAGAAGGGGTCAAGATCTCTAACACTTCAACTCTCTCTCTCTCTCTCTCTCTCTCTCTCTCTATATATATATATATATATATATATATATATATATATATATATATATATATATATGCTTTTAACTCTTTCTCAGACCCTCACTGACTTAATCATCGGAGCCTCATTCCAGGAAAACCTCTCGGACGACGACTGACGGTCTCATCTTCTTTGTTGTGATCCACAGGCTATACATCATTGCGCTCAGAAAGACGGACTTAGGCTGGTGACATATCACAACAGTTGGCGCCATCCAGACTTGCACTCAGTCCTACAAAACCCACTTAGTAGCATCAGGAGTTGAAAATGACAGATAAAGGACCACAACGGAAAGAAGGTGACACTATTAGCCAGGTTCGACCAATGCAGTCCCTCGATAGGAGTGGTGCATCGACACTAGAAGGACAACCTCTAACATAAACACCAACAACGATGTCAGTGGGCTCCGCAGCGGAGTTTATAGCTAGTTTATGGCGACCGAAACCCATCACAACGGCCACCTAGCCACGACAACCACCGTGACGCCCCAAAGGGTAGCAACCACATAATCATAGCCAGAAACTCACCAGTAGCCATCCACGTGGCAGGCAAGGACCAACACCTGGTGCCCGAGCACTATCACATCCGCTATACAACCAATGCCTGCAGGTCGTCTGTCTTCCCCGATGGCCGCCATATCGTGCGTCTCGCTATTCGACAACAAACGACATTCAACCCATACTGCTACTAGTACCAAGGCATGTACCCCCCCCCCCCAAAAGAGCTGCAAAACAATAGGAGTCAAGCCACACTAGTGTAGGGAACACACTCACACACTAGTGTAGGGAACCCATACTGCTACAGTCAAATCAGCTGGTTCATGTATATCACACACAGGAAGTGTATGTGCCACAAACGCCGACGTACAACCACATATAACTTTACGAATATGGTAAAGGGTACGCCAGACCCAATCACATGCAGCACACAATGGCCAGTGGAGCACCTGCATACCCACATATGTGCAACTCAGTACCAAGCATTAGCTCGACATTTTTCTAGGAGCTCCTGCAATACGAAATACCACTTTCCGCTATGATCCCAAATATCCCAAAATACAACGGCACAAAAGATCCCGACAAACACATTGACACATATAAATGGATGATGACATCGCTTCGGATGGACAAGAGGTTCACCTACACCTAATTCCCGGTCACACTGTCAAGAAACGCCAACAAGTGATTCAAGTCGTTACGACCGGGAAGCATCTATAGCTTCGAACACCTAAGACATCTATTGCTCCATAATTTCATGCAGTTGAGAAAAGTCAAAGGAGATGCCAAGTCGATCATGGCATGCAATCAAAAGGAGGGAGAGTCTATCTGAGCATATTATTGTTGTTTCACCTTAGCAACTTCAAATGTCATGGGCCATAAAGAATTCTTAGTCATAGGCTCCTTCGCCCAGGGGCTACTCCCAGACTTATTGTCAAGGAAAATGCAAGGCACAGTACCGAAATCCAGAGACGAGCTTAAACACAGGGTCGAGAAATACCTCCGACAGGTTGAAGGGGAAGAACAAAAACATGCAAATTTCAAGGCCGTAGCGAACGTCTACCTCAAACAAGAATCAGCCGAATCCTACTCCCACCACAGCCATAACGAGCGCGATGATGGAAACCACGACAAACAAAGTAGACATTCGAGATATTCTTTCCGAAGATTCCACCTGTTTGTCAAAGACGAGCAAAGGAGCCACAGGTCGGAAGTACACACTGTAGAAAAAACTCCACAACAGACGGAGAAGAAAAAAGAAAATACAGTAAATACCACAAAATCAAAACACACGACACTGGAGAATACACGATACTCAAAAGAGAAGTAGCGGACAAGCAATTGAAAGGAGACCTAACAGAAATAGTAAGGACCCTATGGTCAAATTTCGAAGCTGACCAAAAATATGGGAGAACCCCGCAAGGAAGCAGGAAAATAACCAATGAAAAAGAGGAGATTTTCACAATAACGAGACCCAAGGATCGAGACAAGTACCAAAAGTTGACCAAAGATGACACGAATCCTCCCAGAGACACTCTAAAGATCAGTTTCTCGCCATCAGACCCACGAGTGCCCGACCGGGACCCAATAGATCCAATCATAATCCCCGCCACATTCATACAACAGAAGACTTGTCAATCCTTAGTTGACGGAGGTAGAAACATCGATATCCTTTACGAAAATTGTTGGAGAAGGAACATGAAACCCCCAGCCTAGGAACTACTCAAATCGGCCTCAAAGATTGGAATAGGGACCCCGACCTTCCACTCCGTTTGATGAGAATTTATTGGCCCCTTTCGAGGATACTCCACGCTGTGCTCAGGAAGAAAACCAAACCGTTCTTCAAGAGCGGCAAACCCGCCTGAAGAAGAAACGATCCTGGTATTCAAGTCAGCCATGGTTCGTCGAAGAAGTAGGAAAAGAAAGGAAAAGAAGAAGCAGAAGTGAAAAGAACTAGGAAAAGGAAGTTCAACTCAAATGGGGAAGTTTTAAATGCAGGCGGGAAACCCAATCAGTTACAATGATGAAAACCATCTGCGAAAATGCCTCTATCACGTCAGCAGTCATCAGAAGCCATCCTCGCAGAACGCGTGTCCAGATCCAAGCTAGAACAACTCAGCTACCCTGAGCCAGTGCTGACGTCTACTAGCCTAGGGGGATTTTTGACGTATCCTACCAGGAATCCGTCAAAGATAACAGAATCACTAGGTCAACTGACGGATCAGCTAAAGAATAACGTGTAACTAACACCGAGGCTTCACCCTCGCCTTCAAGACCTCGTATCCCTTCCTTGGTGCCCAAGCGCCAAGGCTAACGTTGAAGAAAAACAGTACCAGGAGTTCCCCAGAGTGACACATCTAGTGCTCTATACGCCGCTTCTGGAAGAGTCTTCACCAATAGCGAACAATCACTCATGGAACATGATCCTCCAATCAAAATTCATTAGCCCCTGCCAAAGCTGAAAAAGTAGAAGATCATTCCAGGGATCTGTTCCCCTATCCACAGGTATAAAAGGCACCGTTCCAACCCAATAGAAGGTGTCAAGATCTCTAACCCTTCAACTCTCTCTATACGCTTTTAACTCTTTCTTAAACCCTCACCAACTTGATCGTCGAAGCCTCGTTTAAGGACAACCTCCCGGACGACGACTGATGGTCTCATCTTCTTTGTTGTGATCCATATGCTATTCATCCCCGTGCTCAGAAAGACGGAGTTAAGCTGATGACATATCACAACAAATACCAAAAAAAGCAACAAACCAAGGGGTTGACAACAATTGCACAGAGGACAATACAAAAATTTGTGGCAGCAAAGAAACTACAAGGAAGAACGATCATGGTATAGTAGTTTTACAAGCAAAATATTTGTTGAACAATTTAATGTTGAGTTAGAACCCATTGTCTTTGTTTCGGGGAGGATTGAAACGTATATTAAGCATGATGCGATTGTAGAAATTTTGAATAGTGAAGAACTTGACATTAGTTCTATACTTTGGTAAAAAAATGTAAGTATATTAATTTTTATTATATTAAACTTTTAAAATATTTTATTTTTATAATATATACTACTTTGTTTCAGAGTGCTATATTTGATTCTTGCAACAAATGGGGTTAACATGTACGCTTTTATAAACACACAGTCAATCGCTAAAACAGAATATGTTCATGATGAGCATGACAAGACAAACCAAGGCAACAATCGTGTTGCAATTGAGATCGTTGAAACAATGAATTTTCATCAAGAAAAAGACTTTTTTTTTGCCCTTTATTGGCAAAGGTACCATATTCTATTATATTCATTGTTGTACGTTTTTTTATTGATTTTATCCTAAGCACTTTAAAATTTCTAGTCTTGCTACTTGTGATTTGCCCTTATCAACACACTGATTATATTATGGATTCCATCAAGAAGTCTGGGAAATCTAATTGATTCCTACAAAATCATAAAACATGTTGAAAAGTAAGATTTTTTGTATGTTTGGATGACGTTTCTTTCTTTTAAATAAATAAAATTGTACTTGTTTTTGTTTTAGGGATGTTGAGATGTTTAATGAAGATTTCGAAATATCACATCCAATGATATGGACGATTGCTGATGTAAATGACCTCTCTCTCTCTTTCTCTCTCTCTCTCTCTCTCTATATATATATATATATATATATATATATATATATATATATATATATATATATATATATAACATAAGAAAATCTCTCATGTTTATTTTCTGTTTAGTGCAATCAACAATCGTCTAATTGAGAGTGTGGCTATTACGTGTTGAAATGGATGTGTGAATTTGTCATGTATAGGCAATATGTATTCCCGAATGTAAGTAAGTTTTGTAATATCGTTTTTTCATTTTGTCGATTGCACTAATCTATCTCTTTTGTTCAATAATACTTTTTGTTTTATTCTGAATATAGAACCTTTGGAATGGTAGAAACCACATTCGAACAAAAGTTGTTGGATGATGTGGTTAATGGTGGATGACTACTTTTCAAAGTAAAATATGAAATGAACTCTGTGTTAAATGGTTAGTTTTGTTTTCCAAACTTTTTATTATTGAATGAATAAGATTGTTCAAGTTTTTTACATTATGCTCTCAATTATTTTGTTTGATTTTTAGCCTTCTACAGTTTAAATGTATCATATGTTCATTGTTTTTATGCATAAAACTTTAACTCATCTATGCTTTTGGTTCTTGATTAATAGCTCATGGTTGATTTGAGTGTTCGAATATTTGAGCCATAGTGACAAATTTTTTACACATAACTTCTTTGTTTTTTACTTTTTTTTAGGATGTTATGGTTTGATAATGAAAAAAATGGGTCTTCTCTTTTGCCTTTTGATTGTGTGTTAGTAGTTTATTTTTAAAGTTACTTTTTATTATTTGCAACGACTAGTTATTATTATTAATTTGTAAAAGCTAATGTATTTATCTATATTTTTTTTATTGTAGTTGTCAATTTTATCGTTTGTTACGACTGAATTTCCAAACTTTATAAACAAGTATATCCATGTATCAAGCGGAAGACTATAATTAGTTTGGAGAACGTTTTATATTGATCTTTTTTTTTATTACTAGATATATAAATTACGGTTCTACATCCGTATTCTATTTTCTAGATTAGCATACCAAGCTTTATTATATATTACGGTCAATTAACTAAATAATGTAAGGCGTGACTTGGCAGCAATGTCAAATCTCAAGCTTTTCTGAGCCTTGGAAAGCTACACCATTTGTAAGACGTGACTTAAGGCAGTAATTTTGTGTATAATTAATATTTTTATATGTATTTTAAACTATTATTCTATTTTATACATATATATGTGTGTTAAAGTGGCATTTTGGTAAAACTTGATGGCAGACACAAGCCTTGGGGCTATTGCACGCCATGGTGGAGCCATGAAGAGCTTTTTAAAACCTTGATTACGATTCTACAACCGTATTATATTACTTAGATTACCGTACTATATATTCTTATAGATTACGATTCTACAACCATATTCTATGCATAGTTTATCGTATTATACATTCTAAATAGAATATGGCTCCGTATTTTATTGCTTCTTCAAATAGAACACGTTCTATTAGAATGCGGTTTAATGTTCATATTTTAATTGCTTTTTCAACCGTATTTAATTTATTCTTGATTTTGTAGTAGTGATAGTAACACATTCGCGTTCGTAATTCCGAACTTCCAACCACAACCAATGTTACAGTTTTAATTCAATCCTAATATGTTTTAACAAAGTACCCCCAAACCAACCAATGTGCTCGAGGAGAATGAGAACGAGAGCAATGAAGATTCTAATTGATCTTTATGTTAGGCTGAACTTTTTTTTCTCCGTAGTAGTGGATTTTGAATTTGAATTTTAATAGTTTGTTATATTATTCTACATATATATTGTTTGGATTTATTTTAAAAAATAGGTTTCACATATATAACAAAATC